GGAATATGTTCCATATTCCATTCAATTTTCCTTCTTTTGGCATCTTGTCTATTTTAATTTTTCTTATTATTAATGTACTTTTTCTTATTTCATCATTTCATAAAAGGTGATGAAATATTGAATGTAAATACATCTATGTACATGTACATGTATTAAATGTTATTAATTAAGCTAGGATGATAGAGCTCATGTAAATCGTAAGGGCTCAAATCATTAAGCTAGAATTTGGTATCAGAGCCACTCAATTTTCGTGAGGAAGAGGAGTTACTCGATCTTTAAGAGCGATGTTGCAGAAACCAGGAGGCGGATATTAAAATTCTAAAGAATTTGGAGTATGTGATAGCTGAGCGAATAGCCCTTGCGAGGACATCCTCAAATAATTTCGATCAAAGTGGAAGAAATTAATAAATAAGTAGTGTATAGGTTCAATTCCTTAACAAATCTTAATACTGTAATTCATTAAAACTAATACCGCATATCAAATTTTAATGAAAGAAAAAACAAAAGCAAAAACAACAAATTAATATGATGTACTATAATATTATATTTGAACTTTCCAGTTTATGGATATATTGATTAGTTACCGTCATTTAGGCAGCCAAGCGTGGCAAATATTGTCCAATTTGGTTTTATAGTCAAACATACAGATACCTTGTTCTCCCACAATCCACAAGCATAGAGTTTTGTTGCATTTCATTCTATCTCTGTTATCCTCGTAGATATCAAAGTACTGCGAAAACCCAGGCCTTTGAAAGGTATAGTAAAATTGTGTTGAGCCCCAAAAGTTTGGTCGAAAGGTGAAGGCGTAGCCGCCCAAAAACGGGAGCTGGTGGATTCCCAAGTCATCATCGCCAGATTTGCAGTGAATAATGAGTTGATTGTGACTTTTTAGAACATTTGTTATATTGACGGTAATCGGTGGGTCTTTGAAGATTGATCCGTCAATGGTTGTAAATAGGGTAGTGAAGAACAACGACATTAGGAGAGACGATGCAAGTGTTGAACATGAATTCATTTTGTAAATATGAGAATACTTGTGCCGGGTTTGTTTCACTTTTATACTTGCAAAATTAGTTTTAATTGTCTACCGCTCCGATCGATCTGTTATATTAGGATGGGTGACCCAATATTACGTGCTTACTTATCGATTGTTTTATTTATTGTTATTAGTATTTGTGTGATTTACAAAAACAACTCATAAGAGCGATCGTTATCCATCCGTCGTTAACTGTAACCCATATTCTCTAGTGTAATGTTATTGTCCTTTAACTTTAAAGCTGACAAACAAGGGTGAGTTTTGATATTTTGTATTCTTGTCATAAAAGAGGGTAACGTATAGGCTACATGGTATGTTCGTATTTCCCTCCTCTGATATGCCATTTATTAATTGAAAATATATATATTATTGCCCGATCTATATGACACATTGTAAAATATCATTTATATCATATATTTGTGTTATCCTTTCCTTAAATAAACCGAACGCTTTCAAATAATTTCTCTCCAAGTTAGGAAAAATAAATGGCACGTTGGACATTGTGGCTTTACTAGACCTTTGACAAGGTTATTCTTCGTTAACCGAACATAACTTATGCAGTGACTAAATTCTTTTCAATCATACTTGCCTCTACTCTAGGCTAAGTCCTAATGCTCGACCTTACCTTTATTCTATACCAAAATTCTTCGAAAGCAATGCCGCATCTCGTATAGTTGTTTTGATTACCAATCATGACCAAAATAAGTTGACAATTCTTAATATCATAATTTATGTCGATAGCGTTTATATTCACTTATACTCATGATCATATCAAGCTTAAAAATAAAAAGAAGAAGAAAAAAAGATACGCACACGACAAACATATCAAAAAACATTAATTTATTTCAATATTAAAATCCAACCTTTCAATATATGAATATATTGGACGAAAGCTGAACTCGTAGCTGGCCCACGATGTAAGCTTGTGGACTCCATTGCCAGATTTGGAGTGAAAAGTGAGCTGATTCTTAGGTTTTAGAGCATTTGTTATCTTGACGATAATTTCTGGGTTTTGGATGATCCATCATTCGATGGCAGTGACTTGGTTAGCGAAGAACAACGAAATTCAGAGAGAAAGCACAAGTGTTGAAAATAAACATATTTTGTTGAAATGGTAGAGAAAAAATTTAGGCATGAACACATTTGTGCTTGGTTTGTTTCACTTTTATAGTCGATAAATAGTGCAATGGAAGGTAAAAGTTGATTGTATCTTTAAGAGGTTTCTCGTATTCTTGCCGTAAATAGTAAATATGGATCATTTGATAACAATTTCATTTGTTATTTATGGTTGGAATAGATGTCTACAGATGTGTGGGAAAGCTTTCTCTTTTTCAGTTTTTAGTTTTCTATTCCTAAAAAATCATCTGTTTGTTTTTTCGGGGATTAGAGAGATAATTATGGAGGAGATCAGGTGCGAAATCCTCCATTTAGTTTTTTCGGAGATTGGAGGGAGGATTCCTCATGGAGATCACATTCAACACAAGGAATTTTTTTTTTTTCAAATAATTTTTTACCAAAAAATTTTCATTTTCTAATACAGATCCTATTAAAAAAAATTTATAGATTAAAATAAATTTAATAATATTTCTAATTGAACATTTACATGCTATACAAGGGAGATGCAGTAAGAACATACCATATAAAGAGCGTGTAAGATCACGTAAGATTAAAAGCTTATTGGACATTCAAATTATACGTTTAGACCCTGACAGAATGGCTAATAGGTCTCTAAATTTTGATTATTTTAGTTCAACATTTCAGGAGTAAGAAATCGACCTATCGAACTTTGTTATCTTAATTCATACCGTATCTTTTAAATTATGCGTAGGGTAGCTCATACCTTATCTACAAAGGGTTATGTATCTAAAGAATATTTTGTCCCAAAATATGAAAGCTCGTTTGTTTAGTATGGGTAAAAATAAATTGAGTTCATTTCACATCCTCCAGATTTGAAGTTAGAGCTCGAAAGTCGAGCTCTTCGCCTGAATTTCAGCAACCAACTCGTCCATAAACACCTATGGAAGGATAACAACCTTCGATTTTGATAAGTATGGTCCGAAGGAAGAAGAAACCCTAAAAATAATTCTATGGATATTTTTGTTGCAATTTGATAAACTTTTTACCAAAATGATCGTATCTAATTGTATACAAGTACTATACGTTCGACATCTTAGATACTCTAAGCAATTGCTTGATAATGGTGTACACTTGCAGTTATGAGCTGACCTCCTTCCCGACGAGTTTGCAGTTTAGAGCCATTTGATGTCACGTCATTTTTGTCTGTAAACTAGTTTATTACAATTTTGCTTTTGTAAGCTCCATCAAGCCTT